GACTGCATAAACCGTAAAGCTTGGTTCGAAAAGAAAGGTGAGCATAATGCTTACGTATGTTTTGAATCAAACTTAACTGAAGTTTCCCATAATACTTGGTGAATTGATTCTGGATGTACGACTCATGTTTCTAATGTGATGCAGGGATTCCTTTCAACCCGAATCATAAACTCAAATGAGAAGTTCGTCTTCATGGGGAATAAAGTCAAGATTCCAGTGGAAGCTGTCAGGACTTATCGTTTAATCCTAGATATCACTTATACCTTATGGATACTTTTTATGTACCTAGTATCACTAGAAATTTAGTTTCTTTGTCTAAACTTGATGTTGTTGGATACTCTTTTAAGTTTGGGAATGACTATTTCAGTTTATTTAAGCGTACTTGTATGATTGAAACTGGTACACTTTATGATGGTTTATATAAATTGAATTTGGATAATTTATATGCTGAAACTCTCATGACCTTGCATCATAATGTTGACACTAAACATAGTTTGGTGGATGAAAAATCTGCTTACTTGTGGCATAAGCATTTGGGACATATTTCTAAAGAAAGAATGCAAAGATTAATAAAGAATGAAGTCCTTCCAGATTTAGATTTTATTGATCTGAATATATGTGTGGATTGTATTAAAGGCAAACAAACAAAACACACAAAGAAAGGAGCCACAAGAAGCACTCAACTTCTTGAAATCATACACACTGGTATATGTGGTCCATTTGACATAAATTCTTTTAATAAAGAGAAGTATTTCATCACTTTCATTGACGATTTCTCACGTTATGGATATGTATATTTACTATATGAGAAATCTCAAGCAATAAATGCCTTAAAAAGTTATATAAATGAAGTGGAGAGGTAATTAAACAGAAAGGTGAAAATTGTCAGGTCAGATAGAGGTGGTGAGTATTATGGAAGATATGATGAAAGTGGACAACACCCTGGTCCATTTTCTAAGTTCCTTGAGAAACGTGGTATTTGTGCTCAATACACAATGCCAGGCACACCACAACAAAATGGTGTGTCTGAAAGGTGTAATCGAACCTTAATGGATATGGTTAGGAGTATGTTAAGTAATTCATGTTTATCTGTATCGTTGTGGATGTATGCTTTGAATACTGCCATGTATTTGTTGAACAGGGTTCCTAGTAAAGCGGTTCAAAAGACTCTTTTTGAGTTATGGACAAGTAGGAAACCCAGTATGAGACACCTACATGTTTAGGGTTGTCAGGCAGAAGTAAGAATTTATAATCTGCAAGAAAAGAAACTGGATGCAAGAATAATCAGTAGATATTTCATTGGTTATCCAAAAAAAAGGCAAAAGGGTATATGTTTTACTATCCTACCATTAGTATAAGAAATGTTGAAATTGGAAATGCTCGGTTCATTGAAAATGGTGAAACTAGTGGGAGTGAAGCTTTACGAAATGTGGAGATTAAGGAAGTTAGAGTACAAGTCCTTGTAATTAGTACATCTTCTTCAAGAATTGTTGTTCCACATGTTGTAGAATCACACGACAGTCAAGAAGAACAACAAATTAATGATCCCGAGATTAACAATGAACCGATAATAGAACAACCACAAGAAATAGTATTAAGAAGAACTCATATAGAAAGAAAGTCTGTTATTTCGAATGATTACATGGTTTATCTACAAGAGTCAGAAAATGACCTAAGTATTGATGACCCAATTTCATTTTCAGACGCCATTAATGGTGATAATTCTGACAAATGGTTAGATGCTATGAAAGATGAGCTTAAATCAATGGCACATAATGGTGTATGGGATCTTGTGGAATTGCCAGAAGGATGCAAGAGTGTTGGGTATAAATGGTTCTTTAAGACTAAGCGTGACTCTCATGGCAATATTGAACGTTACAAGGTCTGTCTTGTTGCCAAAAGTTTTACTTAGAAAGATGACATTAATTATAAGGAAACATTTTCACTTGTTTCTAAGAAAGATTCCTTTAGAATTATCATGACATTAGTAGCTCATTATGATCTTGAGTTGCATCAGATGGATGTTAAAACTGCTTTTCTGAATGGAGATTTAGAGGAGGGTGTTTATATGAATCAACCAGTGGGGTTTATTGAAGAAGGAAAAGAGCATATGGTGTGTAAACTTAAGAAATCAATATATGGACTTAAACAAGCTTCTCAACAATGGTATCTTAAGTTCAATGATACTATTATGACCTTTGGATTTAAGGAAAACATTGTTGATCGGTGTATATATCTGAAGGTCAGTGGGAACAAGTTTATATTTTTGATTCTGTATGTTAATGATATCTTGCTTGCGACTAATGATCTTGGTCTATTAAGTGAGACTAAGAAGTTTCTCTCTAGCAACTTTGAAATGAAAGATATGGGTGAGGCATACTATGTGATAGGAATAGAAATATTCCGTGATAGATCACAAGGACTGTTAGGTTTGTCTCAGAAAATATATATTAATAAAATTTTAGAGAGATTCAGAATGGAGAAGTGTTTAGCATCTCCCGTTCCATTATAGAAAGGAGACAAATTTAGTCTCATGCAATGTCCAAAGAATGACTTGGAACGGAAACAGATGGAAAATATCCCTTATGCATATGTTGTTGGGAGTTTGATGTATGCTCAAACATGTACGAGGCCAGATATTAGCTTTGCAGTTGGTATGTTGGATAGATACCAGAGTAATCCTGAACTGGATCATTGGAAGGCTGCAAAGAAAGTTTTAACATACTTACAAGAACAAAGAATCACATGCTTACTTATAAGAAAGCTGATCACCTTGAGGTGATTGGATATACAGATTCAGATTTTGCTGGTTGTATGGATACACGAAAGTCTACATTTGGTTATGTGTATCTTTTAGCCGGAGGAGCAATTTTATGGAAAAGTGCGAAGCAGTCTGTTATTGTTGCATCCACCATGGAAGCTGAATTTGTGGCATGCCTTAAGGCCACAATTCAAGCTAATTGGTTGCGGAATTTTATTTCAGGACTTGGAGTAGTCGACAGCATTGTCAAGCCGCTGAAAATTTATTGTGACAATTCCGTAGCAGTCTTCTTTTTTAAGAACGACAAGTATTCCAAAGGTGCTAAGCATATGAAATTGAAAAACTTTGTCGTTAAAGAAGAAGTTCAGAAACAGAGAGTGTCAATAGAACATATTAGCACTGATCTTATGATTGTTGATCCTTTAACAAAGGGATTACAGTCCAAGTTGTTTGCTGGCCATATAGTAAATATGGGCATTACGTTTACTAGTAGTAAATGTTGAATGTTAATGTTATTATTAATGTTTATGTGACACTCTGAGATCTTTAATGTATAAGTTTATGAAATTTGTGTTTTCTTCTTTATTTATATGCATGCAAATTATGATGAAGAAAACAAATTATGTTATTATTATTAAAATGATATTATGTTTGAACTCATTATGGACTTCTTATTATAAAGTCATATTAAGGAGAAAGAGATAATATAGTGGTATATGGAAGGGAGCCTGTCGATTGAATGACATGTAACCGTCATGACTCTTGTTATAGCTGTATCTTTAATTATGAATAATGATATAACCAATTTATGTAAGGTCTTTTAATGTGCATTATGACTTAAGTATTAAATCATAGAATCGTATGACATCACATGAGTCAAGTGGGAGAATGTTAGAATTAATTTAATTCATTCATTCCATTATGTGACTTATGTGAAATATAATGATAGACCCAAATGTGATTTAATAAAATATGAGGACCTATTGGTTATTATGTGAAGTTAGAATAAAATAAAGATAAAATAAAATATTAACTTACGGTAACCAACTTGATGAACGTTGGTTAATAAAATGGAATAAGGGTTTTGTCTCTGGTTATAAGGTTTTTTTACGGTAAACCATCAAGAAAGTGTAAGAAGAGAAAGAAAGACAAAGAGATAAATTGGGAAAAGGAGATTGAAGAACGAAAAGATTAAAAGAATAAATTCTCATGGATCAATGTTAGTTTTCTTACTATGATTCATGTATTGATGTATGTTAAATTGTGAAAATCAATAATCTAAAGATTTTGGAGAGTAGTTTTCTATAATGAATTAAGAACGTTAGGAAAACTACATAATATTTTACAAAAGAAACTATACTTGTATGTGAATTAATAATGGATTGTGATAATAAGATCCTTGAAAAATTAAAAATTTTAAATTCTAACAAAATAATAACTAAATTAGATGATGTGATAATAAGAATACAAATTAATCATATTGATGAGGTGTATGTAATTTGTGAGTATCTATATATCAACACAAATTACATGATATAACAATAGAAGAAAAATGATAAATTTCTTTGTATTTTTCTTCACTTATTATATTTCTTCTAAACCTAACATTTTTTTAGGAAGAGATATAATTGGTGTCAATCTAACATTTTCTTACCTTTTATATACATAAATAAAACTGTATAACTCAAACAAAAATACTAGATCTTTTTCATGAGCATAACCCTACAAATTCTTGGGATGGTGCCCTGCGTTAAAGTTGGTTCCACCTTTATCAGAAGCGCTTTTGAAGAATGGAATTCCTGTCATTGCTTTGGTGCTCCTTGGCTGTTCAATCAGTTGGACCCATTTAGTTACGTTACAGACTGTTACAATTGTAGTACTTCAAAGTCTTTACCTTTTCTTATATCAGTCTATATACCCATACCTATAATTATGCCATGAATCGATTCAAGAAACGAATGGACATGGTGAAGAAGAAACAAAACTATTACTTGTGCTGTTTTTAGCAACGGATTATATTCTGGTCCTCCAATTGCCACCACAGTTGCAGCTACGTGAAGGCAATGTAACAACAGAAGTGTATTTTATTTTTGTGTTGTGCTCTAATTAAGAAAGAGTTTGTTGTGAAAACTTTGATGATCAAGTTCCACCCTTTGGTCTGTCAGTACGTCAAAAGAAGTCATCTGAGTTGCAACAAAGTACCAAACTAGATAAAAATGACTTGCATTAAAAAAAAAAGTTGGCAAAACTAGAAAGTCAAATGAGAAGAAGCAGGTCTTCTTGTAAGGCAATGGAGATGGTGGAGAGCATTAATGAAGGAATGGTCCCCTTGGTGAGAATTAAAAGAGGGCTTCAACTAATGTGCATCATCCCTAGTTCTTTGGCCAATAAGCTAAAGAGAGGATCATATTCTGAGTCCTTTATGGTGGTGGATTCTCAGGTGAGGAAAGTTCTTCTTTTAGGGTTAATTACGAAAGATTTTCCCTACCAGTGTAACTATCTCCACCATTACTATTATCATGGTGGTGTTGGCCTTACGTGAATGCCAATATTCGTAATGAATGAAAAATAGAATCTTGTGTTTTTCAATGGTCAAATCTGGGTTGGGAAAAAAGGGAAACATGTCGGATATATTTATTGCACACACCAAACTTTTCGGGTTACTTAATGTTTGTATACACGTGTCGGTTTCGTTAGCACAGATACATGTATTGCAATGTCTTTGAAACAATGGTTTGGTTTGGTTTCAACACAAATGATTGGCACCGACATGTAGTTTTGCTTCAACTACTCCTTTTTAATTAAAATAATTTCCCCCTCTACACTGTAGTGAATATAGTAAATGCCTTTCAAATCATGATATTAATATGAAATTAGTATATTTCCTTCTTCTTCTTTTTAATGTATGTATTTAAAGTTGGGTTATACAAGATAGATATTATTTTTTATTAGTTCTAACAAGTTTATTAATTTTTTTATCTGAATTTTTAGCATTTTAATGTTAGTTTTATATTGATCAGTTCTAATAAGTTATATTGTTATGTAATAAATATAATTAAAAAATATACATTTAATATCAATGAAAAAATAATTCATATAATTTTAAATTTTACTAATAACCGATATTTAAAAATAATTATCCTTTTTAAAATAAACCGCTATTTAAAAATATAGAAAATAACTAATATAGTCAAATATTATTTTTTTAGTATATTTCTTTTATAATAATATTATTAGTATTCTAAATTTGAATCTATTATTAAGATATAATTGTAAAATACTTATTTTAGAGACATAAAGTTATTATATTATTGTCATAAGCAATTTATAATTAATTAATTTTAATAACTTTTTAAAATAGTAAAGAAATTATTATTTTTTTCATTTAGCTTTTTATTATTTTTTAAGATACTTAATAAAATAATTAACAAATTTAAAAAATAAAATTATCACACTAATTAAGATTTCTCTAATAAAATATTACACTAAATAACTAATATTTTATTCAAATATTTTAACAAGTAATTCTAAACACTTAAATATATATATATATATATATATATATATATATATATATATATATATATATATATATATATATTAAGTGTTTAGAATTTTGTGATGGTAAGTTAAATCCGTGTTTTTTGGACTTTAGAAATGTGGGTCCAATAATTTTCTGGCTTTGTTTCCCTCCCTGGTCCCTGGAATGTGGTGTTCAAACTTGCAGTCATTGAGTACGACCTTGTGTTTCTGTGTGTGCTTGATACAGTAATTATAGCAAACATAAATGTGAAGTGGGTGGGTTTAGAACAATTAGTTTATGATTTTAGTTGAAATTTATGAGTTATAAATGATAATAGATTATAAGTTAATTTACCAAAAAAATATTTTTGATATATAAATTTATTTTAATAGTTCCTAACTTATTTTTTGAGTTTATTAATAGGTTATTTAAACTAATTTATGAAAATAAACTAGCATATAAGTAGTTGCTAGTAAGTTAACTTTACCAAACAATAAATAGGTTTTTAGGCTTTCAACTCTAGATTATGAACTATAAATTTTAGATAGTTTACAAGTTTTCAAAGCTTATTAGCTAGTCTTATCAAATAAGATTACTTTAATCAAAATAATTAAAAAAACTTATGAACTACCAGAATAGCTTACCAAAGGAACTCAATTATGTGACCGTATGCGTTGGTAGCTGTAATCAATCAATGGCTGTCATCTACACTAATTTGAGGAGGTGGTGATGTGTATATGGAAGTCATGTCTAAATGGATTTCTGTCGAACATTCTTCCATTGACGATGTAACTGATGATGTTAATGTAGAACCTCGTTGATCGATGCCCTCGTGTGCTTGTGTCAAATGTAACATTTTTGGTGAAATGTAAAATGTAAACTAGTTGAAGGGTAGGTTAGTACTTATATAAATCTTTGGGGTAGTCCCTCTGAACAAAGGCAAGTTATGCCACACATTTGATGTAGGGTCTAAATAGCTGCAACATTGATTATAGAATGGGGCACCTGCAACACTTATCTAACCTTTTCTATTAAAGGCGTGCCCTTTCTTTTGCCTGTGCAGATTTTGATTTTGATTTTAACTAGACAAGAAAAATTAATTGACCACACTAGGGTAAGATACTCAAATCCCCCTCTCTTTTTTTTTATAAACACCACTATTATTTCCCACAATTGTCTTTATCTTGATTCTCTTCTTTTGCTTCTTTTTGTTGATGTTGTGTTCAACATTTGTATGTGTAAAGAGCAATCATATACATGCATCTAAGAAATTTTCACTTTACAAAAAGAGGAAAAAGAGAGTAATGAATCATGTGCGAGTATGAAGACCTGATATCAAATACTATAATGTTTTGCCTTGAAGTCAGAGAAAGTTGGGACCATTAACAAAAAAAAATGTTCCACAACATACTCCTGCATCAAGGAATTGTATAGCTTTAAGTCATTAATATAATACCATTCATTAATTGGGACAGCTCCTGAAAGCAAATAGAGAACTCAATGTGTTAAAAAGTGGGTAGTAGTGCAGTGGTGCAGGCTTCATCTGCATCTAATTTTAATTTGGTTAGTGCGGTTGTTAGAATATTATGTTGGTAAATATGGGTATGTTAGTAACCTAGTGTCATTGAAGTGTTAACACAAAATCTCAAAAGGTAACAAAAGTTTACTTTTGCTTTTGGGTAAGAAAATAATGATTCATCTGCAAAATCAATTTTACTGCAAAAATAATGACACACTCTGGTGACACAGATTTTTAACCACATTGGCACACTCAAACATGTTTTATAGGTTCCCAATGTTTATGGCATGCCAGAAACGCCTGGTGCTATAATAAGTACTCAAACTTAACCAGAAAAATTGAAACCACTAGTCTTGCCTACCCCACTAGCCATGTTTCTTTGTTGTCTGAATAAAAGATCTAAAGATGATGAGATGTAGCCAAACATATGCTAACGCGTTGCCTGGCTGAACTCAGTTGGTGGTCGTAAAATGGGCAGGCAAAGCCATCTACCTGCAACTGCCAATGAATGATCAATTGTGGAAGTGGGTTTGCTCTTCCAACCATTACTTCCTCATCTGTGTATCTCATTCACATTGCATCAACCACCACTGGTTGACATTCATTTTATGATGCACACTCACTACACGATCAGTCATCATAAATCATATCCCACAAATGAATAAGAAGTGGACTTGCTCTACTAGGTAAGGAATAAGTACTTGTTTGGATTAAATTCATAATCTATCTGATTTATGACATAAAAATATATAAATAAAATATAATATATATTAATTCAATATATGTAAAATGGATTTTTTTTTTTTTAAATTGGATTAGATTCAAAATCAAGTTTGAAGACTTCCTAAGTCTTGCTTCTACAAAAAGGATTTCAGACAATTTTAATGTGGAAACAAAATATTTAAATATACACAAACTTGTTACTAAATTATATTTATTTTTCAAACTGTGAGACAACCTCGTACGCCCGAAGCTCAAAATAAGATAAAAGTAGATGAACATAGTCTTGACCAACTCTCAAGCTGCTTTAAGTTTCTTGCAGCTCATTCATAATCAATGTGGTGGTCATGACCATGTTGTTTGGATCATAAACATGTCACGTTTACGCAATACACTAACCCATAAGACAAATAGGCGATATGAAAAGTACCGAGAGCTTAAGTGCATATGCCTTTCAGTGAGCGAGTTATTGTCAACGAAGGTATATTGTTCAGTTTGACAATGAAAATTACCTTTGTCATTTTATGGACTTTTGTACGAAGCTAGGGCAGTGTCATCACTCTTATTAGAAAGCAAATGCATGGTGCTTCTTGAACCTGACCTCTGATTTGGTTATTATTCTTAAAAATAATGTGGGTTGAAATCTTGTAGTCGTAATCTATTGAAACGAAAATAAAGTTCAAAATAGTAAGTGCTATTAATATATCTAAACATTTAGTGTGAATTAGTCGACATATCATCGTCTGTGCTTTAAATTCTCATTTTCCTTGCCGTCCAAAAGGCAGGAAAAATAGTGTGCCTCAAACCAGATCACCGTTTCTGATCGTGTTCTCCACAACAAGTAAATCTGAGAACCTTGGTCCCAAGCAAAATGAAGAAAATAAATGAAAATTCTACCTTAATTGGCACATGATGGAAGCATGACAATTAATTAAGACCAAAAACTACATTGACAATAAAATATTTACACTAAGTCAACAAAATTAAAGCCTCCAGCAGAAGATAACATAACAAATGACTGTACCCCACAACCGCAAGGGGCAGCATGAAACATTTACATAATGGGAACAAAATGCCCCTTGACACTTATTTGCAACTAACAGCTCAGCTCTTCATCCCAACCAGATCTAAATTGTAATCCTTCTTCTACGCCATTTGGATCTGCGTCTGGTTGAAAGAGAAACAATTCATTAAACTAGTTCATGTGGGCATTAAATAAACATAGGTAATTAATCAATTTTTTAACAAAATGATTAGGGGGTTAACAGCTAAGAATATCACTGCAATGCTTGACAAACTACTTATATTCAACTCATAATCCAAAGATTCCTGAAATAACCAAACACATGGAATTGACAAACCAACAGGATAAAGATTCTAAAATAGAGAACTGCAGTGAATAGTCCCAGTTGTTTATATAAAAATATGAAAAAGATTACCACTTTTTCCCCACATATCATCCAGTTAGATTAATTTTATATAAAACATATAGTAGGGCCAGTAGGGAGACACATGTACTATGCTTTGAAAATGACTCTTGAAGGTAGGGACGCTTGTAACGATAGCTTGACTGAAGCAACCCTAAGATTAGCCAATTTTGCAGGTCATACCCCTGATTGGAAGGCACGCCATCACACAACTTACGTAGCACCGTCACAATTGTCCATTTCTATAGTTTGAAAGGGTCTCATTTTCAGTTTAGAAACACTGGGTTTACTCGCATAGAAGCAAAATGTGAAGAACATACTAAAAGAACCAAAAAAGGATGCAAACTTAAAAAGAAACTGAAACCATAAATAAATTTATAATTATCTATCATGATTTTTGACAAGCAAGGGCTATTGTGACAGATCTAGCAAATAACTACAACCTAAAAGCTCAATATTCAACAAAACTATGATTTGAACACTAACTTCAAGGTTTATTCTATTTAACCTTGACTCTCTTCCCAGCTGCAATTCTTCAAAATGGTAGGCTCTTTGAGGTAGAACTTGAAGTGAGTGACTTGAAATGATCCGATGGCACAATGTCGTGAGGCAAATTGGCCCTTTTTACAATTTTCCTCATGTTGCTCTGCAAACTCTGCTGGACTAATTGCTTCACTGCTTTCTTCTCCTCACTCATCATATCTTCCTCCTCGTCAAAACAATCTCTCCCTCCGTCACCCGGCTTCGCCGACGAAGAGCCGCAAATAGGGGCAGAGACAGCAGCACTCAAGCCATAGCTCCCAGAAACCTGTTTCCCTTTGTCCACCCTCAAAATTTCCAGTATCCTTGATGCCCTTTTCTGAGCCAATGTGGTACCCAAAAGGGACAACTCAAGCAGCGATGACGCAATCCCTGCCTCAATCATGGCCTGCTTGTCCCCGTAGGACTTGTGTGCCATAACCATCAAAATGTACGATGCCTTCTCCTGGCATTCTGGCGAATCTGTCCAATTCAACACATCCACCAGGATAGGAATCGAATCTTGCACTGCACTAATCGCCTTTCTACCCTCCCGGGTCGACACCAAGTTACTGAGAATTGCAAGGGCTCTTTCAGTTACCTCCATGTCCCCTATTGAGCTCACCAGAAACAGAACCAAATCTGTTTCCAAAACGAATGCAACATTGGCTGGGTAGATCGAAAGATTGTACAATGCCCGTAGAGCATCTTGCTTGGCTTGAGGACTACTCTTGTCATCTAAACTCTGCAGGGTTCTAACTAAGAAAGAAATTGAAGCCGAAGACCCAATTATGAGCTTATTCGAATCCAAAGCACTAAGTCCAAGGAAATTCGCAACAATTGCTTCAGAAACCGAAGAATCTAGACCATCTGGAGATGCAATCAGCTTCAGCATCTTCTCAACAGACCCAACTTTCACAATAGCTGCTTTATTCCTGTAAAAACACACCCAAAAGATTAAAAACTAAACAAAATTTTTACCGTTAATCACGGAAAGAAAGGCAACGACATCATGTGAAGAAAACCGGAAATTAATCAGAATATATATATATATATATATATATATATATATATATATATATATTTATATATATTACACCCAACAGATTAAACAAAACATGGAAAATAATATCAAAGTTTTATTCTTAATCACATAAAATTTACAGTCAAAGATATTCAAAGAATTCAGTAGTCAGTAAAAAGGCAACATAATGTGCAGAACTGAAAATGGACGAGAATATGATGATACAAAAAAAACAGCGTTACAGACTAACATATTAAAGAAAAAAAAAACAGTGAAAGAATGAGTAGAACTGAAAACTAACAAAAAAATATTTATTTATTTTGATAAAGAAAATGTTTGATTCATGCAAAGTGAAAATGTAAAACGGAAAAAAAAAAACTACAAAATGATCATATTGTTTTGACAATTAAACGAGCAAAGTGCGGATTTACGGGCGAAAACGACTTCAAACAAATTAAAAATGATAAAAAAGAAAACAGAGAGAGACGATCAAATGCGAAGCGACTTATCAATCATTAATGAATAACCTAACCTAAAAAAAATGTTAATAGAAAATGACACCAAGTAATGAACCATAGATGAAAAAAAAAAACAAAACGTTAGACAATTAAAAAATAATAAGGAAGAGAAACCAACGCGTCGTTTCCGATTCCGAGGTTGAGCAGCGCGTAGAGCGAAGCCACGAGCGAATCGACGTCGTTTTCAGTTTCATCGAGCATTGCGACGAGAGGAGGAATGGCTCCGAGCATCGCGAGCGTTCCTCTAACTTCCAAATCCTCTTTGGCTAGCAACCTCACCTTCGAAGCAGCTTCTCTTCTTCGTTTCATTGATTCTTCTTCTTCTTCCTCTTTTCCTTCTTCTTCCTTCTGAAGCTCCTTCACAATGCTCTTCAGCTCCTCGAGCTTCTCTTCTTTCTTCTTCGTTTCCGCGTCGGCTTCGACCTCCGCGAGGTTCAGCAGATCCGAGAGCTTCTCCGACTTCGCGCTATTCGGCTTCGTCTTGTGCAGCTGTTGCTGTTTCTGTTGGTGCTGGTGTCTCTCGGAGGACGTGTCGGATCTCTCAGCGTAGCGGGAACTGGCGCCGCAGCTGACGGCGTCGAATATCAGGCGGCGTAAGGAGGTGACGGAGAGGGACTGCCATAGGCGGAAATGGCCGCCGGCGACGGAGGTGGCCTTGGAACGGTGGTGTTGATGGTGGTGGTGGCCGAGGACCACATGCTCGACGTTGTTGCGGTGGTAGTTTGCCATCTCCGGCGACCTACATTGCAGAGAGAGAAAAAGAGAACACTAGAGAGAGAAGAGAGATGTTTTTCTTTTCCGGTTTTTGTTTGAGAGTGGAAACTGTGTAGAGAGAGAAGGGACCGTTGAGTCCACGTCTTTGCCTTCTTCTCAGTATTTATAGATGCTACAAAGATTGAGGGTTTGTGCGAGAAAACGTGACTATGAGCATGCTTCTCACGCATACTTACATTGATTTTGTGAAATTAGTTTATAATTATATTATTTAATTCATAAAATTTAACGGATAAAACCATTCTACATCATTTCATTTATTTAATAATAAACGTATTAACTTTTATAAAAGTATCTAAAAATATGCCTAAAATATCTCATAATGCCGATAAAGTAATAAGTTTCAAAGTAGAAAGTGTGTTAATCAATTTTAAGTTACAACATTAACATTAAAAAAAATAACATATATCATTTTTATCCTTTAATTTTAATATTTGACAAAATACATAAACAAAAATCAAAATAGATCTATAGAATAAGATAATTTTTATATTGTTAAAACAGTTGAGGTCAATAAATTTATAATTAAATTATACTTTAAAATTGTATTTTTATTATTTTTTAATCTTGAAGTAAACAAGTTTTATTACATTGTACTATTTTTTACAAATTTCTTTAATTATAGATTAAAATGTATGGTAATTAGATTGTTTCTTTATTATATAATTGCGTAAAAAGACATAGTTTAAATCATTTGTATGAAAATAGAAATATTGGTTGTGTAAGAAAGTTAACTTTTTAAAATAGATTTATAATTTTTCTATTTTAAGATCAATTATAAAAGGCTTTGTACTTTGTTATAAATTATTAGAGTAAGATATTTATTAATTTAATAATTAATTTAAAAGTTATGTTTAGAGTGATTCCGAAGCAATAAATAATATGAAAAATTATATCTCCGTGAAAATTAAAGTCTATATAAATATATAATTTTTTATTCTAAGATCAATTTAATTTGATTTTATTTGTATTTAATTTTACTATTTTTACCAAATATTTTTCTTTGTTTCGTCTTTCGAATTTTCTTTATTTTAAGGCATTTTTTTTATGCTTGATCTGAATATACAATTATGAAGAAGATTGCTAACCATGAAATAATTAATACTATTAATAAAGATAAAGTGAGCGGTGGATAAAACATGGGCAAGTAATTAAACAGGTTTCTGATAACAGGTTCAAATCTTTGATTACTAATTTGATGTAAAAATTGTTGATAATAATAATAAAAAACAAAACACAAGTCCCTTAATGTATGAATATTAAATTTTAGATTAATTTACTTCACTTATTTACATAAATGATAATAGAGGCAATAATAAATAATTTTTTCCAAAAATGGAATATATTGATTTTGCTTGCAGAGACGTAATTAAATTTGTCATCAATAGCTTCCAAAACAATAATTTATATTTATCTTTCTATGTAAAGTTTTTAAGAAAAAAGTTATTTTCATTTATAGAAACAATTAAATTTGTTACTTTTTCTACATTAATTTTTTTTATGAATTGATATTTTTTATGTTTTATATGAAGAAAATAATCTTCGGATATATTTATATATTTTGGTGAAGAGAAATAACTCATCATAAAAAATCATAAATATTTAAATATATATTATTTATGAAAAAAAAGCCTTTTACAAAGTATTTTTTTATGAAAAATGCAATCTTTCATACTCGCCAAATTTCTTTATTGTAATGTCATGTTTTCATGTTTTTATTTTTCTTTTTTCTACGAAAAAATATTTTATTTAAATAAACAAAATATTTAGTAAACAAGTTTCAATAATAAAAAAGTTAAAACATGATATTAAAACTTAAAATCAAATTTATACGATAAATTTGTAATATGATCTTAAATTTATTTTAAAAATCTGCATTTACATAATCATTAATATAACAAAGGTGTGTCCTATATTTCTCTTGAATTTGTCTTTTGCACAAATTTCTGACCATTCTTATAATTGAGAATGTCCCTTTTCACATAAATTGTAACATTATTTGGATAAAACAAAAACATGTTATTTGATCTTTAAATTTAAAATATAAACTATTAGTTGCCAGCAAACAAAAGTTTAAATCAAACAAGATAAAAGATCATCCAACACATATGTTAACACTTTTTTTAGATTAATTACATTAAATATTTAAAAATTGTTACCAATAATGATTTTTTTTCTTATTAAAAGATTCATTTAGTTAGTAAATTAAGAACTAATAAGTTTTTATTGTTTGTCTCTGAATTATTTAGTTGATTTTCTTAAGCAATTTTTAAAGATTTAAATAATGTGGATTAATAATTTATGGTTGAAAGGAAAGACTCAAATTAAAGTAATTATTCAATTATTTCACGGAAACTAATTATTAATAAATATTTTATACTAATAAAATGATTATAATATATTTAGTATTACACAGTTAATACAATAAGAATCTTATTGGTGAACAATTTATAAATATTGAATTATTTGAAAAAAAAATCATAAATATTTTTTTATAAACTAAAATTAGTTTATATTTCTCTATACAGTAGAATTAATTTATGAAATATTTTTTATATAACTTCTTTAAAATTGTGTATATAAGATATTTTATATAAAAATAACTTTTTCTTTTCTTAAGAATGTTTATAAAATATGTATTTAAATATATTTGGCATCTATATACGTTTTAGTCCTTTAAAAAACATTTAATCTCGTGTCTCTCGTCTAAATTTTTTAAAGTTTGCTTTTAATTTTTTTAAACGTGTTTTAATTTTAACATTCATTTAATTATTTATATTGAATGAATGTGAAGGAAGATTTTTAAATAGTACCTAGAAGTAATATAATATTAATATAAATGAAATTTAGAAAGAAAATTACATAATGAAATCCAAAATTTTCAATTTTATAAAAAAGAAATCAAATTTTGTCATAAACAAATTATTCAAATCAAGATGAAATTTTGTATAGAAACTAAAAACATTAAAAAGGAAAAAAAAAAGAAAAAAAGAATGAGATTGAAAAAATAAAAAACAAATAGGCACAAATTGCATTGGGCCGTGAAAAACCAAACTTAGAAAATACGCCACGTGGAGTTTACGATTCTGTGGTTGTACAAACATTGTTGCTATCGCAAGATAGGTAATCCTGTGGATGAAGGAAGTTTCTTGTATGGGACCCACTATCTTATTGGATTGAACGACTCTGATTGAAGGGTACATTTAGATTAAGGTGGAGATGTGCTCACACGAAAACTAAAACACTAAATCCACGTCATAAAGACTACGTGTAAAAAGCTGTGCATGCATCCTTTCTGGTGAATAATGTGAACCAAATTCCAATCACTAAAATACAAAACTACTTGTTTCTTTTTTAACTGAAGTTATTAGGTTATGTGTAATTAAAAATTCAATAAAAAACTTCTTAATCTAAGTAATAAGATATTTATTAGAAAATGTTAATAAACTATTTCTTTATATTTTTTGACATATTCTACATTATTAATTAAAATTTATTTTTTAAAAAATCATAAATTTGACTCATTAATCTAGAAATAAAACCCATATAACACCAAATTATTTACTTTTAATAACTATCATCATCACCATCAAATTCTTAATTTAATAATTGCATTATAGCAGTAATTTGTGAAGATTATTAATTCATCATCTATTAACTTGGTGCACACGTGTGGCATTTTGTGATGAACACAAATATAAAGCTTTTAAATTTAATTAATTAAATAGGTAATAGTCAGTGCATGTGAAGTTGTAAATTATGACTGAGAGAAAGGAAATGTTCCTTAACTACAAGCATGTCTCATTATTTATGCGGACTTTTCATTGCTTTTTTAATTGGATAATCATTTTTAAAGAGTATAATTAAATCCTCTTTTCCGTGATTATCTGCTCTAATATATAATGAAAAATAAATCTATAACTAAATCATAAAATAAATTATCTTCCCACAAATCTGAGTCACTGGACTCATTGAATAAATGTAGAAATTATTATCTACGTCCTTCTATATATATGACTTTGATTTATTGTAGAAACTAAGTATATTATCATTTTATATATTTAATAAAAAATCTTAATAATTAGTAGTACCCACTTCTCATACATTATCATTTTATATACACGTATGTATAGAAAAATGAAATTATATCAATCAGTTTGTAAATTTCTCAACTCAAGAATTTATTATTTAAATTGCTTGTGATTAAACTATAATGTTTCCTCAATTTTAATCTTATTCTAACATGATTTTGAAATATTCTTATTACAATTTTCTACGTATAAAATCTAAGAATATTGATCAAAACATTATTAGAAATCTTTATAGTGAAATTTTTCTTGCAAGTTTTCTATCAAAATTTACAATAAATAATTCTTCTACATATTTTTTTTTTTTTGCAAATTCTAATTCATATGTAATTCTTTCATGGAATTACTTAAGAATTTAAAAGTTGTATAAATTTCCTACAAAGTTTTTTGGACAACACAAAAATTTGATGACAAAAAAAAATCTGCAAGAAACTTTTTCTGTAAACTAAAATTTGTAGGGAATTAAAAAAAAAAACTAAAATTTGTAAGAAGCTTTTTCTGCAATCAATTTTTTTTGTGTGAAAAAAAATAAAGAAAAAAAGAAATGAGAGAAAAAAATAATGTAGAGGTTAAAAAAATAGATGAGAATGCAAATATAGTTTGAATAAAATAGTTTTTGAGAATGAACTACTATATAGATTTATGAAAAAAAAATCTTATGACAATTAAGGGAAACATACATGATTATATATCACTTCCCTGGGCATACATGAAAATATAAAATGATGATGAAATATTATAAAAAAAAATTCTTGTTGAAAGCCAGAAGAACAAGAAAGATAATCTAACAAATAATATATATATATATATATATATATATATATGTATGTATATATATATGTATGTATGTATATATATATGTATGTA